TTACCACTTCCCATCAAGTGGGCTGTTAGCTTGTTTGCCATTGTAAGACGCATAAAAAAAATTACAAAACTCCTTCGAAGCATAGCTTGCTTTACACTTCGTTGGGCGGCGATGGCTTATTGCTTTGACCTCGTGAAACGTCACAAATTATAGGCAACCAGAACGTCACGAGGAAAAGCCAACTCCTAAACACGACACCATAATAAACCCATGCGGTGAGCTATGATAATATTACCGATATTGGCCACAGACATGAACATGGGTACCTATCTAGAAGACATTTGTTATGCTGTGGTGTCTTCATCTATCACAAGGGCTGACAACTTTACTTACTGCAGAAAATTTATTTATTTATTTTTATATATCTATATATATTTTTTAATTGATGATAATGGAATGGTTACTCCGCCTGCGCTAACGGTATACACTGGCGAGGCACCAGTAAGGGATGGTAGGTGAGGATGAAGTAGGTCACTTGGTCTATCGTGACTAACAATAAATCAATCACAATAGTTTCCAGGGGGAACCGCGTGCAGGTCGACCTGATAAGGTACATTGCTAGCAATGGAATTATCCCCTCAATCCCCTTACCCCCCCCCCCCCCCTTATATCTATATTTTTTTTTTGATGAGTGAAAATGGTATGGTAACCCCGCCTGCGCTAACGGGATACGCTGGCGGAGCACCAGTGAAGGGTGATAGATGAGAATGAAAACAGGCCAGTTGGCCCATCATGATGAATTCATCAGGAATTAACCATGATAGTTTCCAGGGGGAACCGCGTGGAGGTCGACCTGGTTGGGTATATTGTTAGCAATGGGATTCTCAGTCTCCATTACTAACAATCCCTTTCCCCCTATATCTATATTTCTCACTAGTTTTACAGGTAGTAACCTAATACAATAGTGTAATGTTAATTATATAGACAGAATCTCAAAAATTTGTCAGCTACTTGTCAAATTAGCTGACTCGTTTTTTTTTTTCAGTGTTCTATATAGGTATTTACGCATAAAATGTATCTTGACGTATTATTTAATAAATAAAATGAGTATTTACACATTAAAAAGATGCAGAAATTATAAGACAAACTATTTATCACATAAAATTTGTATGAAAAAGTTGATCCGCTTTTTTCGAAGCATACACTTGGAGACACTATCAATAAGGTACCCCTTCCATTCCTAAGAGTGTCGTGAGACTAAAGGAACTTAATAATAGGGGACAGCAGCGTTTCTCTTAAGACATATCTAAAAGCCTAACTGTGGTTGCCAACCCGCCTGCCAAGCGTGGTAACTACTGGCAAAATTTCCCTTATGGGGAAAGCTTATGTTCAGCAGTGGACAGTTAAGGAGTAGCATGATGATGATGATGAATTTTATATATTTTTAAACAAAAATGAATACGGGACTTACAAGGGAGTTCTAACAAGGGTTTTCTATGTCGGTCCTATATTTCGTAGCGTTTGCAAAAAAGAAATATCACAACTTTTCGATTCCTTTCTGGCAGTATATCTATAACAATTTATATTGAATTACCAAAGGGAGACTTTGTACAAATGTCGTTTGCTTGGGCACCTCTGTCCCATTCGTGTTTCAGTTGTAAAGCAGTTGTGTTTGCATGGCTGTGTTTCGGTTTGAAGGGTGGGATATGGCGTGAATTTACTGGGTACAGAGGAATAACACCTAAGTCCTCAGGAATGGCAACGCATGTGAGGTGTCATGGGGGAAACAGTATACTCTGTTATGTCCACGGTACTGCTTATGTCTATAGGTGACGGTTACCACTTTCCATTAGGTGGACCGTCAGCTTGTTTGCTATTCTAAGTTGTATAAAAAAAAATTTAAGTCAATTGACCATGACCGTCCAGCGGCTGTGTTAAGACTGTACGTTTTTAATTAAAAACAATTAAACAAACGGGTTAAGTCTATGATTCTACCTAAAACTGGCAACAAAACATTTTCAACTAAAATTCAGTACGAACGGTTGACAACCCTATTCGAACTTTCGTTTACTACCACGACTTTAATTTGCAAACAAAATATTTACGTCACAGCAGGTTTGCGTATCAATCGTTACAGATTTTATAGGTACACATATATAGTGAACAACTACCTTATTTTCTATTGTAAAAGTATGTCCTGATGTGTTATTTTTTAATTTCATATAATATATATATTCTTTATTGCACTTGTAAGTTACATATAAAATAATGTATTTATAAATGTTGTGAGCAAGGGTGGACTTCTCTCTGACAGAGATCTCTTCCAGTCAACCCAGTACAGTGAGAAAGCATTTCGTTAGCGGGCAGCTGAAGTGCTACAACTATTAATACATAAACAAATATACAGTTAAATAAAATATTAAAATATATAATAAAATATTACATAAATACATACACTATAAATACATATAATAACTACCTACTTATATAATAAATCGTCATCGTCATTTCATCGTCATAATCACCATATCAGCCTTTAACTGTTCACCGCTGGACATAAGCCTCCCCCTTGGGGGGTATGTCAGTAGCTGTCACGCTTGGTAGGCGGGTTGGCAACCGTAGTTAGGCTTTAGATATGTTTTAAGAGGGACGCTGCTGCCCATCCATCGGCCTACTTTAGTCGCCTCTTACGACACCCACGGGAAAGGAAGGGGTGGCCTATTCTATGCCGGGACCACACGGTCGAAAATGCGTTGTTCTTCTATGCTATGCGAAGGGCAAGATATCCGATAATATTGTAATTAATTCAATTCAATGTATTTACAATTCTTATAATTTCAATTAATCAATTACATTATCATTACATTGTCAGATAAAAAAAACCACTTTGTCAACATTAGTTCTGGGTATATTTACTTCAATACTAGGTATCTTGATCTACCTAAAAATTCACTTATAACTACTTTACTCTAGTTTTTATTCGCGACTTCGTGCGTATAATCGGGATCAAAAGCGCTCTATCTCCATCTTATATAGTACGTGTACACCAAACTTCAAAGTGGAATGGGGGGGGGGGGGTATTGTTAGCAAAGCGGACTACCCGTCCTGTCCCACTGCCAGCAATATACACTATCAGGTTGACCTCCACGTGCTCCCCTTTGGAAACCATCGCGCTGAATTCCAGGTGTATTCATCACGATGGGCTAACTGACCTGCCTTTTCATTCTCACCTGCCATCCATCACTGGTGTCCCGCCAGCAAATACCGTTAACGCAGACAGGGTTACCATACCATTATCACCCATTAAAAAACACGCGAACATAAGGTTTCCTATGTCGGTTCCATATTTCGTTGCGTTTGCAAAAAAATACCAAAATCGTTCTCTTTCTTTCTAGCAGTTTCTATGACAATTTATAATTGATTCAGGTACAACGGTACTGACGTGCCTAAAAGGACAGAAGTCCCTAAATAAATAAAAGATTAAAAAAAAAAACAATTTATATTGAAGTTAATCGACCACGACCGTCCAGCAGCTGTACGTTGTTAATTAGAAACAATTAACGTTACAAACAAACAAACAAAGTGGTAAAATAGTGGACAATGTAAACTAATCATCACGACGCTGACCTTGACGACGTAACGGATAACGGACAGTCATCAATTCGTATACGGAGGTGCTACTTGTTGCAAAGCAATATACAAATAGATTTTGCTTTTTTTTTATGCAACTTTTTTTTTTATTACAGCACGACATGTGACCACAACGTCCTGAGAGAATCCAAAGACAATATGGTCCATGAATACGGTCAATCGAGAAGAGAATGATTTGCTCTCAATAGTAGACCGCATTATGTTGGCTTGCTACACATTGCGTTTGAAGATTCCAATGTTATAGTACGAAGGAAACACCTTTTTTTTTTAATACAACTAGAATAGCAAACAAGCTGACGGCCCACCTGATGGAAAGTGGAAATCGTCGCCTATAGACATGAGCAGAAACCTACTATATCGTATAGTCGTAGAATACTGACGGATCTATATTTGTAATATTTGTCGGATTCGTCAGTATTCTACAACTATGACGATATGTGTAACAAGAGGGAGACTTTGTACAAAAGTCCTTTGTTTAAGTACTACTTTCGTGTTTCAACCGTGAAGCAGTTGTGTTTGCATGGCTGTGTTTCGGTTTGAAGAGTAGGATATGGCAGTGAATTTACATGGTACAGAGGAATAACACCTGACTTTGGTTGTAAGATTTTTTTTATGCAATTTAGAATGTCAAAAAGGCTGACTGTCCATTGATGATGAAAGTGGTAACCGTCGCCTATAGACATGAGCAGTACCATTTACATAACGGAGTATACTGTTTCACCCATGACACCCCCCATGCGTTGCCATTCCTGAGGACTCAGGTGTTATTCCTCTGTACCCTGTAAATTCACGCTATATCCCACCCTTCAAATCGAAACACAGCCATGCAAACACAACTGCTTCACGGTAGAAACACGATGGGGCCAGAGGTACCCAAGCAATCGACTTTCAAAATTCGACTTACAAAGTTTGTACAAATGAGGTAACTCTGGTAAATGAGGAACTTAAATTTTTCTTAAATTAATCTACACTGAGCGCCCTCTGACTGAATAAAAAAAAAGAATGTGTAAGCGTCTAAGTCTAACACTTATAGTGTTAAGCGTTTTGATACTGAAAACAGGTAGTCTACCATGAAATGAAATTCCGAATTTTCGGGCTCAATTTCGTGTTTTTGTTCGTACCGAAATCGAGCCAGTAAATGGAGGTTAACATTTCGTTCATCATAAATCCTATCCTAATAGTCCAGAGGAACGATATTTTAACATTTGTAATAATTTTAAACGGAATGTATTATGTAATTTTAACATCAAATTTCTGTTTCGTTCGTCCCCGAAATTTCGGAAATCATTTCATGGTAGGCCTACAGTATTTTGTATACTTTATTTTTGTTTTACAGTATAATGTAGTAAAAAATAGTATAATACTGTATTTAACAGTATAGTTGGCAACCCTATTTACATAAGACTTACCTCACTGCCGTCCTGCTGGGCGTTGCATTTGCTGATATTGAGGGTTCCGGATATGAAATCATTCTGCACATCCACTATAAGAAAGGCGCTCACCGGACGCACTATCTGAAACAGAAGGTACAGTTCATTAAAGTGGTACTTTTTTGCCTACCTACCATGAAAATTCATTCAAGGGAGAATATGCGAGGGAGAAAGGGATTGTTAGTAATGGGTTTACACTGCGCTAACGGTATACGTAGGCGGGGCACCAGCGAGAGATGATAGATGAAGATGAAAGCAGGTCAGTTAGCCTATCGTGAAGAATTCCACGAGATCTAACCACGATGGTTTTCAGGGGGAACCACGTGGAGGTCGACCTGATTAGTGACATTGCTAGCAATGGAGCTGTTAGACCCCATCGCTAACAAATAATTTCCCCCCAGACTATGATGTTATGCCTCCGTATCCTGTAAATTCACTGCTATATCCTATCCTTTCATGTAAGCAAACATGCTTTACGGCAGAAACATTGGTGGTATAGTGCTACCCAGGTGGAGGGAAAGGGATTGTTAGTAATGGGGTCTAACTGACCCATTGCTAGCAATACACCCTATCAGGTCGACTACCACGCGGTTCCCCCTGGAAACTATCGTGGTTAATTCCTGATGAATTCATCATGATAGGCTAACTGGCCTATTTTCATTCTCGTCTATCACCCTTCACCGGTACTCCGCCAAAGTATCCCGTTAGCGCAGGCGGGGTTACTATACCATTTTCACCCATCAAAAAAAAACTTCCATTATCACCCATTAAAAAAAGTGCTACCCAGGACTTCTGATGAAGTCTCTTTCTAATTACCTAAATAACACTTAAAATATAGTTGAATGCAATGACGACTAACTCTTCCGTCATACTAGTGAACGGGCCGTTAAGTTTTTTTCATACAACTTAGAATGGCAAACAAGCTGACGGCCCACCTGATGGAAAGTGGTAACCGTCGCCTATAGACATGAGCAGTACCATGGACATAACAGAGTATACTGTTTCGCCCATGATACCTCCCATGCGTTGTCATTCCTGAAGACTCAGGTGTTACTCCTCTGTATCCTGTAAATTCACGCCATGTCTCAACCTTCAAACCGAGTCCAATCAAAATGACTAAATTAATCAGAAAGTTTCGTTTCTGACACAAGCTAATGATGATTTATTCTTATTAAATAAAAATCATTCATACCTTCATATCTTATCAGTCATTACGTATTTTATGACCCTTTTATGAACCTTTACATGATTGTTAATAATTTCATCAGTTTAACCATATTTTTAACCAGAGGGAGACTGTACAAAAGTCGATTGCTTGGCCACCTCTGTTCCATTCGTGTTTCTATCGTGAAGCAGTTGTGTTTGCATGGCTGTGTTTCGGTTTGAAGGGTGCGATATGGCAGTGAATTTACAGGGTACAGAGAAATAACACCTGAGTCCTCAGGAATGGCCACGCATGGGGGGTATAATGGGCGAAACAGTATACTCTGTTATGTCCATGGTACTGCTCATGTCTATAGGCGACCGTCACTACTTTCTATCAGATGGGCCGTCAGCTTGTTTGCCTTGTTTAAAAAAATATAAAATTGGGGCAGGGCCAACCGTGGCTTTCTTGAGAAAAAAGTTCCACGCTAATTTTTATCTTTAAATAACATTAGGTGAGATAAGATCAAGCGTAAAACTATCATGTAAAAACAAAAGGACTTCCGAATGTTTTTGTAGGCACGTTTGCATGTAGGTATATTTATAACAAGTTTACTGTTGTAATCTTTTGGAGGAAACAATAAAGAGTATCTATCTATCTACGTACTAGGTTGAGTCGTGTCTCTGCCGCCAAAAAGTTGTGTTCGAGCAGCTGTGTTTTGAGTTTAAAGTTTTATTTTTATTATTTTATTAGCTTCTTTTCCTTTGCTTGGTTCACGTAGATATCAGAAGGAATAAAAACAATTAAATATACCACTTTTAGATGGGGTATCAAGATAAAACGTATAACTGCGCAGAACAGCATACAGTTTGGTACAGTAATTTTTACATGATGATAGAACAAACAGACAGACAAAATAAAATAAAAAAAAACATATTATGGTTTCTATCGCTCTTATTAAATTTCCTTATATATCTTCCATGTAGAGACATCATCTATGTAACAAACATAAAAAAATACAATCGAATTGAGAACATTTTCCTTTTTAGAAGTCGGTTAAATTTTTTTTACAACACAGGGGGCAAACGAGCATGCGGCTCACCTGACGGTAACTACCGCCGCCCATGATCACTCACAATACTAACGGCATTGCAGGTGTGCTGCCGGCCTTTTAAAAAGGAATATGCTCTTTTCTTGAAGGTTATGATACAGTCGTATTGAGAATCAGTTTCAATTTGGAATCGATTGTAACTACCACCCACCACTTTAATCCAATGGTTCCAGCAAAACGTAAACTCTTCTTTGTCGACATAGCCATCGCCATTCTTGTCGAACACTTGGAAGATATGGCGGGCACGCTCCTCCGGCAGTGGGTATATATGTCCTTTGTCATTGCGAAACAAAGCCTTGCAGATCAGCCTGAACTCGTCAAAATTAAGTTTCCCGTCTCTAAAAAAAAATATAGCAGTATTCAAATCACTAGCTTTTACCTGTGACTTATTTTTTTTTTATACAACTTAGTATGGCAAACAAGCTGACGGCCCACCTGATGGGAAGTGGTATCCGTCGCCTATAGACATGAGCAGTACCATGGACATAACAGAGTGTACTGTTTCGCCCATGATACCCCCATGCGTTGCCATTCTTGAAGACTAAGGTGTTATTCTTCTGTACCCTGTAAATTCACACCATATCCCACCCTTCAAACCGAAACACAGCCATGCAAACATGACTGCTTCACGGTTGAAACACGAATGGGACAGAGGTACCCAAGCAATCGACTTTTGTACAAAGTCTCCCTCTGGTAAATATATTATATCTGGTAATATACTATAAATACACATCTCACGATTCCGACCATGGTTGGGTATTTATAATGAGTATGTTGATATTTCATCTCTTTTACTAACAAATTTAAAAACCATAAAGATGTGACTGTTTCTCTTTTGTATACTTACAAAACTTAATATTTGTCATTTATTACTCACTTATATGGTATTACATATGTAGTGTAACCATAAGTCTGTTTGCATTGATTATAATGAGATCACTGGGATGTGTCATGTTAAACAAATTGTCGAGTTTAGGTAAATCCTTTCCTTATTAATATTATCAATGGGAAAATAAGTTTGTTACCCCTTCGTGGCTTAACAAATCACTATGAAATTTGGTATATAGGCACTATACAGAATGGAGAAGAACTTGAGTGTCTTTTTACACCTGTCAGTGAGTATATCCCCATCACATAGTCATGGGTAAGAGCTGGTAATAAATATTTTGAATCTATGCAATGTTTTATATGAAGAACCTGACTGAACTGGATTTATTAAAAATAAATTAACAAAGTAAGTTCCTTATGTATAAGAGGAATATGAAGGTTAAAAAGAATCCTCAAGAACTCATTTCATTAGAGGGAAAAAGTGGTATAAGAGGGAGAAACTTGATACTTGATTACTATTATTAAAATAATAAAATCTAATTCTAATATTAACTAAAAATATTAAATAATATTCAGATAATAAAATAAGATTTAATTCAGAATATAAATTACTAATAATATTAAAAGATGAAATGTTTCATTGCTAATTACTTGCAAAAAAATAATTAATAAATGCAAATACTATTCATAAATTTGAAGTTGGAAATAAAAAAAATATATTCCAATTTTTGATATAAAAATTAAAATACTGACACTTAATAGGCTTTAAATAGACAGTGAAAGTTTGTATGAAAGATCTGGCATATTTTAAGCGAGACAATAGCAAGTTAGACTAGAGAGATTCTTATTTCTTTATTGTGCATCCTTAATTAATGTGCCAGTTATTGAGTGGTTTTAATTTTTTGTTGTTTCAAAGTGACTTTTGTTTTCAGAATGATCTAATAAATACAAAGTAAAAAAAAAATTAATTACAAAAAATATTTTAACGACTACATAGTCTTTTAAATACATGTCTTAGATATGTTGAAAAAATAAAATATTACTCTATTTACATCATGACCAAAAAAAAAAACACAAATGAAAGCATAAAACAAACATCTAAATATTTAAATTAAATAAGTAAATAATTAAAAATAAATGAAGCAAGAACAGACATTTCAGAGATAACAAACAAAACAAGAGTCTATGTATGTGAGGAGAAAATTTGCAATACAGGTTCAAAAATTATGAATTTATATTTATGGATTTTATGATTTAGCCCATAGTATTATTACAGGTTTATATTTTAACTAACCAAGATTTACATTATATTTAGTTTCGTTTTCGTTTCGTAGGATATATAATATTTTATGATACAGAATGATTCATTGTAAAAAAATATTTATTTAATATTTAAAAAAAAAAGGACTTTTAAAAAGTTTCTTAAAGTTCTCTATAACTTTGTTAGTTCATAATTCGTACAACATATTTTGCTAACAGAAATATTTTAGGATATTTTATGTGATGATATGAATGGGAATCGCCAATGAATTGACATACCCGTCTTTGTCGAACGTCTCATAGCAAGCGTCCATATCGACCAAATAAGTTTCTTCAGCTGTGCCGTTGTTAGAAACGTCCGACATCATAGGCTGCACTGAAATGAGCGCCTGCTCGCTCCAGCGCCCTTTTATAAAGCAATCCAACTTCATGTTGCGTGAACTTTTAACTTACATAACCTATACTAACTTGTATGGCGTATATTGTTGATTTTACGGACAATAATAAACTGAAAACATTTTTAAGATTAAGTATCAGAAATTAGACATATTTAACAATAATATTATTAAGTATTTTTCACATATTCCATTGCAAAAACTTGTGAAATGTTGAAAAATTTTTAAAATACTCAAAGAGTTCGCCAAAATAAATAGTGACTGTGGATGAATGAGAAAAGCGAACGAAAATAGAATGATGATTCTACGAGTGACAATGTCAGAAACAGATTAGAGACGCCTAGATATAGTCTTTCGAGAGATTTTGTCTATCAGAACAGGTCAGTCTTATCACGAAATATTTTTCAAAATTTCGAAATCAATCAATACTAAATTACATTACATAATTAATTAAATAAAATTTATCATTATTTACAAAATTATAATTTACTACAATTATTAATTACATAATTCTCTCTAGTAGTATATTTTTGATAAAATGGTTATGGTTTTTATTATTGTAGTGGATCTTCGATGAGGTCCTTCTTCGTGATTGAAGTCCTCGCATTGTGTCTGTACCTACTTTTGCAATGGAGTTTAACCTCCCTATTACTAAGAATTCCTTTCCCCTGGTGTTCGTGGTTCGTGCTGTTAGGTTTCTTTTAGACAAAAAATCTAGGTTTCTTTGTCTAAAAGTCACTTTGCCGATATTAAGTAGTCATTCACTCAGCACAGATTATATTAAAAAAAATATCGGAACTGACTGTCAACCTTCGCTGTCAATGTGCGTTCATTACTTTTTTCTGTGTATTTGTCATTTTCTAAATAATATCAAGTTACGCTGAAATAAAATTTTTGTCTACTTTGTCATACTTTAATCTAATATGCATTTAACGTTAAATCATATACTATAAGGTTTTGATTCAAATGCTTTAGTTTATAATATTATTGCGTTGTTTGTTTTCTACCCACCATCGGCAACATGGTAATAGAAAAAGTTCACGGTCTTCAAGCCACCAGTATGAGCTTAAACGATAGGTTTACTATGCTAGCATCTGTAACACCGAACCGCGTACCTTTGAGACAGCGAAGACGCACCGTGAGTTCATACTTCGGCCAAAATTTAAACTTTAAAAACAAAAATTTGATTGAACAAATCGCGCGCCGGTTGGAACAACAAGCCAAAAGGGTAAATGTCTTTCTTTATTCAACTTTATTTACATGCTTCTTTACTTAATGTTGGTCTTCTTTTGCAATATTTTAACATGCATTCCATTTTTATTACATGTCTTAAATATATTTTGTAATTAAAGATTGTAATCTTTAATATTATGATTCATAAAATCCCGGCATAGAATAGGCCACTTTTACTTTCCCGTGGGTGTCGTAAGAGGTAACTTATGGTGGAGGGATGGTCAGCATCGAGATGCTGCTCTTAAATCATCACCAAAAGTCAAATTGCAGTTCACAAGCCACTTGCCAAGCATGATAACTACTGGTAAATCCTCGCCCCCCTTTCATATGGGGGAAGCTATGTTCAGCAATGCACAATTAAAGGCTGATACAGCTACAACATGATGCATCTCCATCAATGTTCAAGAATGTTATTTGATATATTTTAATTATGATATCTATTAGTCAGTAATAGTAAATAGCATGGCAGAACTGCCTGAGCTAGTGTAATATAATTTTACTAGCTTTTACTTGTGACTTTATTCATATGACTGGGCATATCCCAGTACTACATTTACATACTACATTGTACATTTACTAACCCAGATAAAAAGTAGTCTATATCCTTCTCTATCTGTGTGTAGTTAAGAATATATATATAAATACAGAATTTCACATAACAGCAAGTACTTCGACAGCGTCTTGGCATTCCTGGTGGATTACGAAGATTTGGTAGCGAGAGCAGCCTCCCAGGGTTACGTCGCTCCAACAGCTTTGGCAACCTCAGCCAAGCACAGAGTATAAAGAACAGAGTCTCATGGAGACAATCCAATGGAAATCTGAGGTGTGTTTTTTATGTTGCTGTAACCTGCCTCTTTTACCTTTAGCAGATACCAAAATCTATTTTCATTGTTTTAAGAAAGTTATTAATTTGACTGAATTTTATTTTTTCTTCCCAAAGTGACATAATTACATGGCCAATTCTAAACCATAATTGCCAATCCTTTTTGCAGTCAATAGGATTTATTCCCATATTATTTTTTTATTTTATTTTTTTTATTTTATTGGCACATAAAACTGATTAAAGAGATAAACAAAATATTAGTAGTATTAAATAAATTTGTATGTGTAGCCCACTCCTACACAAAACAATCATAAATAATGTGGAAAATTTGCAGTGTCACAGGTTTTTCTGCCTGAAAAAGCCCATCTTTCAATAACAAGAATAGTCTTTTTAATATTTTGATAGTCCAAACTGCTGTTCTTTTCTGTGAAATGCTATAATATATATACCCCATGAATTTATACCCCACCCGGTCGCACATTTTCTATTACTAACTCACATTGATGAGTTGGTGCAAGCGGGACGGAGCATGTGTGAAAGGGAGGCGTGAACTATTCTGAGTAGCACTCTTGGGTGTCTATTTATTTTTCAATTAAACATAATTCTATTAAATACAAACTATTTGTCAATTTATCAATCTTATTTCTATTTATGGGGAGTAAAACATGATTAACAACAAACATTACAAACTATGAGAAATAACATACTTAGGTATATTATTTATAAATAACTATGAAACGTATCAGTTATAAGATTAACTATGAATATCGCGAACATATATAATGGAAATATATATAATGTACATTTGAATAGGCTATTTGTGTGTTCACCAGTTCCATCGTAGACCACATCATCATCATTCCATCAGGTGAAATTTGAAATTGGAACGCAAGACTGTTCAACAGTAAAAACAAATATTGTATATCACAGCCTTTTTTATTCTCATTGTTTCATTAGATATCACTAAGACTTCAAAGTTTTATTTTGCTACTATGAGGGAAAGAAAATTTATAATAAAACCTATGGCAAGATAGGCTAATGTTCAAAGGTTTTGAGGGATAGGTCCATGCTTAGTAGTGTAGTGTTAATGGGTTGTTATGTATGGTATGGTGTTTGTTTTGCAGTCGATCAGCGTCATTCAGCAACTTGTCTGCGGGTGCGTGGCGTGGCTTCCGTCGCCGTGGTGGACCTAATCGCGCTCTTCGGGGTCGCCTGAGGTTGGTATTTGATTATTTACCATTTCAACTGCTAACTGTCCATTGCTGAACATAGTCCTACCCCATAAGGGGGTTTGCCAGCAATCGCCACGCTTACCAGGCAGGTTGGCAACTGTAATTAAGCTTTGGCGATGTTTTAAGAGGGATGCTGCTGTTCATCCCTCGATTATTAAATTCCTTTAGTCACTTCTTACAACACCCAGTGGCAAGAGAGGGGTGGCCCATTCTATGCTGGGACCACACAGCATATTTGATTATTTATTTAGGTATAAATTGCTCACTTTAAACATTTATTGTGTGGCTGATATAAAGTTGTAGTTTGATTTGTTTATGTAATTTTGTATGGCAAATAAAAATAACTTTATGTACAGACATCAAACTGAAAATTTGTATAAAGGAAATAGATATTTTCATTGATTGATTTTTAATGAATTGGGTACTCAGGTATATCATTAGTTATTGATTTGCAGACAGATATTGAGAGCTGATCATTTGATTGGCCTCACCATATTTATAAGAAAATACATATATGACATCGAAGTAGCGTATTGGATTATTGTTCTATAACTTCATTGAGTCAGTTCAACTAAGTGTGGGTTGAATTTTCACAAATAAAACTAGTAATAACTAAAAATAATGTCCCTTTTAAAATATCAACACAAGTCAAACTGCGGTCGCCAACTAGCCTGCCAAGTGTGACAACTACTGGCAAAACTCCTCTTTATAGATGGGGCTATATTCAGCAGTGGACAGTTAATGGCTGATACAATAAACTAGAAAGTAATACTGTATATTAAGCAATGATAATTTTTCCCATAATTTTAAATGCTAACTTCGAGTGTATTATTGCAGGGGTGGTCGGCAGGGCGCGGTGCGTATGTGGCGAACGGGACGAGTAGGTGTGGGGCGAGTGAGTGCGGGGCGAGTGGGCGCGGGGCGAGCGGGCGCGGGGCGGGCGGGCGCGGGGCGGGCGCGCCGCCAGCCGCTGCGACCGCAGGCCGGCGCCAGCGGCCGGCCGCGGGGCAGAGGTAACGTAACGCACGTTAACATTTGTAGTTCTTAGGGATTCATAGTGACCTCCGATTGACGGATACTTTACAATAGTTATCTATTTCGAAGCCACAATAAGCGATGGCCAAACCTCACTATACTGTTTTCGCCATTTGTGCCGTGTTATAGCGATTTTGCACCATATTCTTAAATGTTTAAAGGCAATTTTTGAATGACAGTAAATTATTCTCTTAACTTCCGCCCCAGTTTGTCCTGACCTTTAAGGCAGGTGAGGCAAAGTTTATTTAGGTATTTATATAATCTTTAAGTTACATAAGATAATATTTTTACTCATCTATTTGTAAACACTTTTTCTAGTGTTACTAAAAATATCTGCAAAAGAGTTTTAATACCTTAAAATTATATTACTTCTATCTCTCTATGCGAGACACGTATATGACTTAAACCTGTAAATACTTTTCCAGGAGGCGCTGTTAGGAACCAACCCCAAAAGCCCGTGCCCACCAAAGAGGAGTTAGACGCCCAACTAGACCAATACATGGCTGGCAGCAAGTCGGCCCTGGACAAGGAACTGGAAGCGTACATGAAGAACGCCATGGACCTTGAATAGTGACTAGAAGTGCTGTGATGTATTTGCTTACTGGTGTGCGTAAACTTAACTGTATAGATGGCCAACTTTGAGTGCGGCATCCGCTAGTATATGCAGGTGGTGACTACTGCGGCTCATAGTGTAACTAAGAATAAAGTATAAAAATACATTTGTCACACTGTAGGAGTGCCACGAACTAAGTAAACAAGCTATGTAACCTTCATAAAAGACTGGTTAATACCTCGTCCGCTTAGTGGTTTAAATTTACATTTGTTTAAAAAGTACGTCTCTGTAGAAATCTAAATGTATGGAATTAATAATTGACTGATGTGACCTATTGAAGGTATTTGTAATGGTTTCTGTCAGTCCCATACAAATTAAATTTTGCCCATGCAATTTAAACTAATGTTATTAATAAATTATGTAGTTTAGACAGCAGAGATAGGGGACTCTAAAAATAAAAATTATTATAGTATTATTTAGGATTTATATATATATATATATATACACACACACCTTATTCATTTAGTTATTGTATCATGGCTTCTGTAGTAAAAATTTTGCATTTCCTATTTTATGCAATAATATACCAGATAAAACACACAATAGTGGCCATACACTATATACCAGTGGTGGCCGACTTGACCCAAGAGACCCAAGATCTACTGTTTACTGACAAAACCCTGTGCGATCTACCAACTATATACTTCTTGAAATCACAAACGAAACAACATAGTTCAGTACGCAACTATGTAGTGTTGCAGTATTTTTTATTTTATTAAGAGGGGGAACATAAAAGTGAAAACTATTCTCAGTAACAAGTTTCTCAGAGGGAGACTTTGTACAAAAGTCGATTGCTTGAGTACCTCTGTCCCATTCGTGTTTCAACCATGAAGCTGTTGTGTTTGCATAGCTGTGTTTCGGTTTGAAGGGTGGGATATGGCAGTGAATTTACTGGGTACAGAGGAATAACACCTGAGTCCTCAGGAATGGCAACGCATGGGGAGTAACATGGGCGAAACAGTATACTCTGTTATGTCTGTGGTACTGCTCATGTCTATAGGCGACTGTTACCACTTTCCATCAGGTGGTCAGTACCGTCAGCTTGTTTGCCATTCTAAGTTGTATAAAAAAAAACTTGTTTATATTAGTGTGAGCATTGCGTCTGAGCATCTTACGCTAGATTAGCAAAATATTATATTGTTTACCTTGCCACGATCGAATGGACTAATGCTCGTGATCTGGTTGGCCATTCCTGCTCTAAACCTATTGTTAATAATACGCACACCATTAAGTGTTAAAATTACTTTAGTGTTCTCTAAACACTACGACGGAAGGACGTATTTATGTGCAAATTGATAGAACTAGGTTAATACAAATTCGGACTTCACACTTTTTTTTTGTCTATGGTTGAAACGTTACTAATGAAAACAGGTATGCGTTTAGCTGATATTGCATTTTTTTTTTTTATCTTTTTTATTAGAGGCTTTTATCCTATAAGGATGACATATAGCCTCATCATACCCTAATTTTATAAAATACCTCACATACTTAAAACATTGATACATAAATAAATAAAACCATAATAAGATATCGTATTGTCTTTGTTCAAACGTGGTAATTCTAAAATTTATATTTCTTAAGGTTATCTGATTACGTTATATTAACGCTTCGTATACAATGGGGTTATTAAGCCCTATGGGTCTTAGAACAATTGCTCATTGAGAGATGTGATTTCTTTATAACTTCTATATTTTCTTTTTTCTTATAAATTCTGTATTTTTTTAATGCGTAATATTCATTTTATTTGTTAAATAATACGTCAAGATACATTTTTTGCATAAATATATAGAATACTGATAAAAAAAAAAACTTGTCAGCTAATTTGACAGTTAACTGACAAAGTTGACCCGTTTTTGAGGCTCGATGCTCTATCTATATATAGTTTAAGGTTAAAGCCTTTTTATTTTTACCTTGTATGTAATTTGACATACGAATGAAACAAGTAATATTAAAAATAGTAATTAACATTCTGACATCTGTATTTGTTTTCAATTTAATTCTTGATACTGTTACGTAAAATTGAGCCTTATTTTTATTAGTTAAAGTTAATTTCTCTTTACATTTTGTGCTAATAGCTCGAATAGGTATGATTTCATTTTGTACTAATATATACGGTTTTTGTACTTACCTTTTATGATTGTGTAAGCATAATTGGAATGACTTGTATCACCTTAATCCCCCCCCCCCCCGCCTCTACTTGAAAACCGTGAATAAATAAATTCGATTACAAAATTAATGATTAATGTAGTTTTCGTCGAATTTAAAAAAGAAGGTTCCAATTAGGTTGAATTTTTTTTATGTTATTTTAATTTCGTCACTAATTATCTAATTTAGATTTTTTTGTATGATTTCGACATGAAATGTCAAAATTTTTGTTTATACATTAGTGTTTTTTTTCTACGCTGGGGTTATGTATAAGCACTATTTTTCTATGCAGCTGATTACGTGTCATAGTTTTATTTCCTATTATGAAAGACTGTAAAAGTCGCTGATTCAGTATTCAGTAATACAAGAAACTCAAAATCAAAATTTATTGTATTGTTCTCTTGTAATACATATAGACAAAATCCGCCATTTTGTTTGTGACAGGAAGTTCAGTCGCAAAAATTGCATTAAGAGTCAGTTCCAATAGAACTAGTTGAAAATTTTAATTAACAAATGATTGATCTGACCCTAAGACTGTTTATTTCCAGTTATCGTCATTATACCAACTGTTTACTGTCCATTGCTAAACATTGGTCTTCCTCTATTGGGGGGCTGAGTAGTTGTCACGCTTGGCAACTGTAGTTGGGCTTTGGTGATGTTTTAAGAGGGACGCTGCTGCTCATCTCTCTTACTCTTTTGTCCTTTAGTAGCCTAGAAATTAAAAATCGTTTACAGAATGTTTACGTAATAATACAAACAAAATTTGGTTACGTTTTCATTAAATTCTATTTAAAAAGGCAATAGTGTATACGTTAGAATAATTTTATGTTATTTGCAATCGGCCGTTGGTTTAATTGAAAAATTGTATAATATAGTCCCAGTCAGTCGAGGTCTGAACCCTCCTAGGTGAGGGCCTCGGGGCTGACCCCTTTACCCCGACTTCAACTCTGGGGCAATTATCCCCGGGTCACTGTGTCAAAGCTCTGCCCTTATTTGGGTGAGGCGTGGTCTTCTGCCGCCGTTAGCGTTGCGGTCTCTTCCCCTGTTTGGGGGAGTAGCAATATTTTTCCTTATTTGAATAAATGAAACGTTTTAAGATAGATGGCGCCACCGGCAAATTTTGATGACAAAAAAGTTATTGAAATATCAAAAGAAGACCTTACAAAATAATTTACTTCTGCCATCTATCATCAGCCTGACCGTATGCATCATTGCCAGGTTCGTTTTCCTGTATTCTATTCTTGAATCTTGGAATGCATGTTTTACGTATTGCTCAGTATACTAGGTATTTCATAATTTATTTGTTCTGTCAGTCTGTTAAATGTGAAATTGTTTTCTCATGCAATATCTATATATATATATATGACAACATAGTTCTGCATATAGTTAGCGAATTCACCAAGAACTAAACACATTTTACATTTGGCATACTCTGGTACATCATTCAACATTACATTAACAATTAAGTACATAATAATATTAATAATTGACAACGAAAATTTTGCGGTCGATTGTGCACGTTGGAGGAGATCCGTTTTTGTTTAATTTTACGAAAATAAAATGTAAATATATAGCGATAAGGACTACAGTTGATTGTTTCTAAATAAAAGTCGTAAAAATTGCTGTTTTTTTGTTTTAGATTGTTCTAGATTACGTACTTCAATGCGTTATTGGCTCTTACCAATGAGGATGTAATATTAAAAATATGCTGTACCTCTTCTTCTTTAAGACAAGTGGCGAATGTATTTATCGATAAATAAATGGCTGTAGTTAGGGGAGGTATTGAGGGGCAATGCCCTACCTTACCTTAAAACGAAAAGTCCCAAGGTTTTTTTTTCACTGAATTAAGATGAAATGGTAACACAGCTTGCGTTAATGATATATATATACTGACAAGGCACTAGTGACAGATGATAGGTGAGAATGAAAAGGCAGGTCAGTAAGTCCATCGTGATGAATACACCTAGAATTTAGCGCTATGTATTCCAGGGGGATTACGTGGAGGTCGACATAGTATATTATATTACAGTATATTGCTAATAGTGAGACTGGTAGTTCGCATTACTAATAATCCCGTCCCCCGCCCCCAAGAAAATTAGATTCGCTTTTTCGAAATCACTATGGCTTTTGCCCTACCAAAAAATTACTTTCGCCCTACCTTAAACTGAGGCCTAGCTACGACCCTGATGATAATGGAATAGTAGCCCTTCCGCCGTCAACGGTATACGCTGGCAGGACACCAGCGTGGGATGATAGGTGATAATGGAAAAGCAGGTCAGTTACACCTGGAAGTCAATACGATGGTTTACAGGGGGGACTGTGTGGAGGTCGGCCTAAAAGGGCGTATTGCTAGCAATAGGACTGGTAAACCAATAATACTATAAACATTTAATTTTACACTACGTTATGAAAGAGTTCAGAGTAAAGTTAGGGGTGCTCAATAGGGTGAGACGGTATTTCACGCTGGAACACCGCCTGAAACTGTATAAAGCTCAAGTGTGGCCACACATGGAATACTGTTCTCAGCTGTGGGCAGGAGCGCCACAGTACCAACTCCTTCCGTTAGACCACATTCAAAGTCGGGCCGCTCGAATTGTTGACGATCGGCGTCTTACTGTCCGGCTCGACCCACTGAAACTGCGTAGAAATGTTGCATCTCTGTGCATCTTCTACCGAATTTATCATGGGGAGTGCTCTGAGGAATTGTTCGGATTGATACCTGCTGCTGATTTTCACCATCGTACAACCCGCCATAAACTTAAATTTCATCCCAACCATCTGGACGAGTGGCGGTCCTCCACCGTGCGTTTCTCAAGGCACTTTCTTCCACGCACAACCACTCTTTGGAATCAACCTTCAAGAAAAGAGCATATTTCCTGTTAAAAGGCCGGCAGCGCACCTGCAATGGCGTTGGTGTTGTGGGTGATCATGGGCGGTGGTCGTCACCACCTGATGGTTCAGGTGAGCCGCAAGCTCGTTTGACCTCTGTATTGTAAAAAAACCCTAATTACTGCTGCAAAAGGTAAACAATACGCTGACCCATCCATACAAATTTATCTACATTTATTGAAATTTACATTAATAAAGCTTAATAATTATTCATTTTAATTATTCACTTAAAACATGAGATACATGGGGGGAAAGGGATTGTTAGTAATGAGGTCTAATAGCCTCGTTGCTAGCAATTGACCCTCACAGGTCGACCTCCACGCGGTTCCCCCTGGAAACCATCATGTTTAATTCTTGTCGAATTCATCATGGTGGGCCAACTGACCTGCATTAATTCTCACCTATCATCTGTCAATGGTGCCTCGTCGGTGTATACCGATAGCACGGGCGGGGTTACCATTCCATTATCATCCATTAAAAAAAAAAAAAAACATGAGATACAACGTATTACATATTGAAAGCATAAGTACCTACATGTTTCGCCATACATAGGCATGTAAATGTTGGGCCCTTAATACTATTTTTATTTACGTAATTATTTCAATACGTCAGTGTTAATTAAATAAATTATTTGCTCCATAATATTCATTAACATTTTAACAATAGCAACACATACAATATTTAGTACATCACTATTTTTATTAATTTATTATATTTTATTGATTTATTTATACTTTATTGTAGGCACACAAAAAATTACATTTATATAATTTTAATTAAAGATGTACAACCGACGAGCTTAACTCTGTAAGAGTTCTCTTCCAGCAAACACCTGAGTGGAAAGGAGCATTAATTACCAGCGGGCAGTGTGCGTACAATAATAGGAGGAAGCAGTATTGTTGTATCTATTAAGAAATAATAAATATGCTTATATAAATACAAAGTAACTTATATACTTACATTCAAAATACATACATATTTGTATATAATAATATATTTATTTATTCAAACTTTAACCCTTTCAGACCTGAACGATACGGGCGTGAGTTGTAACTTTAAAAAATTCTAAAACCGCGCGCAATTCATTTTTACGCACGAAGCTGAAATAGCATGGTAGTGAAATTCTAAACCAGCCAATAAGAAATCATTTTAGCGGTTAGGTGGTGCAGTAGTCTCGTGCGTGCCGGCAAGATGGCTTGGCTCCAAAACACGAAAATATATTTAATCTGAAAGAAAAACAATCTTGGGTCTGAAAGGGTTAATGCACATTAAAATTCTATGTACATTTGGCGGACTTAACACCGGACGGTGTTCTCTACCAGTCAACCATTGGGCGAACCGAGAAATACGTAGGCGGTGCATTATTGAATAGAGAAACAAATAAAGCAATACTTGATAAATTCATATAATATAAACATACACATAATGTATTAAATAAGTATATACATACATAAATAAATACATATATACCTATATATCTAAAAGGGTATACCTATATATCTCCAGAGGGAGACTATACAAAAGTTGTTTGCTTGGGTACCTCTGTCTCATTCGTGTTTCAACCGTAAAGCAGTTGTGTTTTCATGGCTGTGTTTCGGTTTGAAGGGTGGGATATGGCAGTGAATTTACAGGGTACAGAGGAATAACAACTAAATATTCAGGAATGGCAACGCATTGGGGATACTGCTCATGTCTATAAGCAACGGTTACCACTTTCCATCAGGTGGGCCGTCAGCTTCTTTGCCATTCTAAGTTGTATAAAAAAAAAAATATAAAATATGTACATATACACACACAAACATAATAAGTTTATGACGACAAAAGATGCTCTTTTAATTTGCTCTTGAAAATATTCAGTGATTTTACCAAGGATTATTATCAAGTTTAACATTTCATCGTACATATATTATGTTAAATTCATCATATAATAATAATAAAAATCATACTAATGTAACATATATTATGTTACATTAGTATGATTTTATATATAACATCTTCAACAAATCGGAGACAAACTACGAATTCCGATGACCAAAAAAGATCCCGATTCCGTTAGATCCGATCCGGCACAAGGACGATGTAACCGATAGCGCGCCATATTAGCGAATGCCGCTGCGATTTCATACGGGTCATTGACCCCGTGTGTTCCATTTACAAAAACATATAAAATTTTTATGATACTTAGAACGGCAAACAAGCTGACGGCCCGCCTAATTTAAAACAGATAGATGGACAATTTACATGCATTATTTACAACACACAAATAACAGACAAGGGAGGGAGGAAGGGAATGTTTTTTTTGTTTTTTTTATTTTACTTATTAAAGTAGGGAAACATACAATACCTAAAATATATAAATAGTAAACACAGCCATAACGTATATCAGTGAAGTTTACACAATAAACTAATCAAATAAACGAGAGCAGATGATTAACATAAAAAAAATATATACTTACATGGCAATACAAAAAAAAAAAAGAAAAAAAATAACAATTAACAATAGCTATTCAGCGTGGAAATGCAGCAAGTATCCTTGGCACCCTACCAGCTGGCAGTGATCTCAAAGAAATTTTTTATCTTTAAATTTTTTTTTTTAATTACTTATCTCTAATTATATATCTAGGTTATTTATACATCAATGTAATTAACATATTAACAATTTAAAAATTACTTTTTCCTTTCTAATCAAACACAGTTTGCTTGAAGTTACTCTCTAACGTGTTTGCGTTAGGGATCTAACAGCTCCATTGCTAGCAATATACTCTATCAGATCGACCTCAACGCGGTTCCCCCTGGAAACCATCTTGATTAATTCTTTATGAATTGTTCACTATGGGCCAATAGACCTGCTTCATCCTCACCTATCATCCTTCACTGGTGCCTCGCTAGTGTATACCGATAGCGCGAGTGGGGTTACCATTCCATTATCATCCATTAAAAAAACAACAGACATAGATAGACATACGCAAAAAAAGAGACAAAAGGATACAAAAGTCGATTGCTTGGGTACCTCTGCCCTATTCGTGTTTCTACCGTGAAGCAGTTGTGTCTGCATGGCTGTGTTTCGATTTGAAGGGTGGGATATAGCGTGAATTTACTGGGTACAGAGGAATAACATCTGAGTCCTCAGGAATGGCAATGCAGGCGGGGTATCATGGATGAAACAATATACTCTGTTATGTCCATGATACTGCTCATGTCTATAGGCGACGGTTACCACTTTCCATCAGGTGGGCCGTCAGCTTGTTTGCCATTCTAAGTTGCATAAAAAAAGATATTATTATTATTATTAGGAAACCGAAATTGATACAAATATCTTCATGTTAACCATATTCGAACTGACGACCTCGTGGTCTAGGGGGGGAAATGGATTGTTAGCAATCCCCAGTAGCAGTTTGTGTTTGTAATGGCATAGAGTTTGACAGCCCCATTGCTAGCAATATGCCTTATTAGGTCGACCTCCACGTGATTCTCCCTGGAAACCATCGTGAACGATTCTTGTTGAATTTGTCACGATGGGCTAACTAACCTGTTTCATACTCACCTAACATCCTTCACTGGTTCCCCGCTAGTGTATACCGATAGCGCGGGTGGGGTTACCATTCCATTATCATCCATTAAAAAAAAAAATACTGTGTTACTTTTTATTCTCTCGAGTTAGAGATATCAAGCGATCTATCCATCTGCTGTTACATGATTCCTATTATGATAAACACAACCGTAACAGAGCGA